CATCATGGTTTAAAGGCAGAGAATGTTTTAACCTCTAAAGTGGCAGCTCCACCGCTTTTCTTTTGCTATTATAGATTTAAGTCGTTTAAGCTATAAATCTCTGTGGTGCTCATACTCCTACTTGCAGCTTCACCTCTGAGGGGTTTGGATACACTGGATGATTGCAATGCAAAGACCATTTTGGCTCACAGTTCGCTTTATCCTTTAATAGCAAGAGCACGACACCCAATCAATAGTCAGCAGCAGCAGCAGCAGCAGTGCTGTTTGCTGAGGGGAGGGGTCGCTGTCATGTCTGACGACAGCCTGCTGCCTTATTTGAAGCACCTGTGCTGCTTGTTCTGCTCTTTTATTAAAGCGATTTTGAGGGAAATGTGCAAAATACATAAAAAGGTAACGACGCCGAACTGAACCAAGACATTTCAGCCCTCATCCACAAGGCACGCCACCATAAATAATGGATTGTATTCTTATAATTTTTTGACCTCTACCTTGGAGTTTTCAGAATAAGAAAGAGGAGAGAAGATGATAAAATGGATGAAGAGAGAGAAAGTTAGCAGCAGAATACAATGAGTATGGATTTTTCTTGAGACAGGCTTTGTTATCATTTTAAAGGTTTACTTCACCGTTATTTAGTGGTTGTTGCTAAGGGTTATTAAGAGAACGAGCAGAGAGCGGAGGAGGAAAAGAGGTAATGCTGTAAGCTGGTCTGTGAAAAAAAAAATATGTGAGAAGGAAGGAAAGAGGGGGAAAAGGAACACTCACACTATCTGCCTACCTTGGCAGATAGTTGATCGATATTACCAGCTCAGATGCACTCTCTGCCTCTCTCTCTCTCTGCTCTGTTGCTGTGTCCAGTGAAGGAAGCTGTGGGAGAAGGCCATTGGCAGGTCATCAGTATTCCAGCAGGCTCTGCCTACTCCGGTGTGGGCAGAGAATAATTTCATTCTGATCTTACAGATCAATAGCTGTACTCAGTGGAAGGCGACCAGCCCTGCCTGGCTGTCTGAGCTGCTGCTGCAGTATTCAGAGTAGCACTACACAGTGGATGGATGGTCCTCTTCAAGCTACATTTTTTAGTTTAATATTCAGTAGAGCTCATAGAGGGAGCTCAATTGTGCTGGTCTGTGAGCTTCTTCACAAGTCTTTAAATGGATACAAGAGACACAAAAAACCCTTAATATACACCATCAGTGTGAAGCTTATAATGTAAAAATGTTATAAGGCTGAGTCACAGAAGTGGTGAGTCAACTCAGGGGGTGAGGAAGATATTTATTACTCCTTATGATATAATGCAATCCAATACATCAACACACGCACCAAAGCCTGAAAAAAATACCACAGGGTTATGGAAAAACTTCTGAAACTGATAAAATACATTTTATACTTCCTAAAAATAGTAGTCATTTTTTTAAAGGTCAACAAGTGCTCCAATTACATAACATTATAAATAAATGTACATTAGAATTATATTACATCATTTTTCTACAGTTTGCACATAAACTAAAGAATGAATGAACATGAAAACATATGTATTTTGATTTTATTTTAATCCAACAATTAATTAGAATCAGAATCAGAAATACTTATTAATCTAACCCTAACCCAAAATATGAATCAAATAGAATAGGAATGTAAGTAAGATATCAATAATAGGTACAAGAAATATTTACACGAATAAGAGTCAGATGGAATATATACACATATTTTCAAGATTATTGCACTGTTTGTTTCAATATTGCTTTGTTATCATGGACATATTATTCATTATATTGCAGTTTTTATAAATAATGAGTTATGGTGGAGGTTACAGTTTTTCAGTTATTTTTATATTTATTTTATTTTATTTTATTTTATTTTATTTTATTTTATTTTATTTTATTTTATTTATTTATTGTTTTACATTTACATCACATGTCTAAAAGAACTATGAATTTACAGAGGCGTCATATCTGATTTGAGATCTGTAGGTAAAAAAACATTAGGACTGCAGTTCGGTGTTATTTAGCCCAGAGTGAATTCTGCTAAATTTTTGTTTTGTTTAACCAAAGTAATCCAAAATAGTCAGTGCTGTGTGAAGTTTGACAAAGAGAAGCAGCAAACTGTCACTATTAAAACAACGTACACATAGATAGAACTGTCTTCAGTTTGGTGTTTTTTATTTAGTAAACGTATAAGAAAGTTAAAAATAGATTCAAATAGATTCAAATAGTTGCTGACCATGAATCCATTTTCAGTTTTTTGCACAGGAATGCTATTGGGTCTACTTTCAGGTGTTTTCTCTTGATTTTGTTAGTGTGGGATGACAGTTTGTAAAACGTCCATGGTATCAATCAATCACTCAATCAATTTGTATTTGTATAGCGTCAACTCATAACAAGTGTTATCTCGAGACACTTTACAAAAAGCAGGTAAAAGACCTTACTCATTGCTATATTACAAAGACCCTAGAGGTACTCTACATTCATGAATTATTTTTATTACAAGACTCGATTTAGAATTAGAAATTGTGCTTTGCTGTCATGTACAAAACCAGCATAGAATAGACCAAAAGAAATACTGAAATAATAAAACCATCCCGTCATCACAGGGGACAGCTCACATTGCCACATCTCCTGGTAACACTTGTCTCACAGGTGCGTGCGTGCGTGCGTGCGTGCGTGCGTGCGTGCGTGCGTGCGTGCGTGCGTGCGTGCGTGCGTGCGTGTGTGAACTGTGACACAATTAAATCAACAGTATGGTCATATTTTGTAGTTATAAAAAAAACTTTTGTGAGTGTTTCACCATTCCCAAATATATTAAAGTGACTCTTTGTGTTGATCAGAGGTATTCTACTTCAAACAACATGGTGGCACACTCTCAGGGCGCAGTCACACTGGTCATCTGTACCCTGCTGTACTCAAGCACGATTGCCCCCCCGCTGCGCCATTCCCTGCCGGCCAGCGGTCGTGGTCGTAATACAACACATGCATGCTCAATGTTATGATGAAGCGTGCTCAGTTGACAAACAGGCGGACGAGAGAGAGAGAGAGAGAGAGAGAGAGAGAGAGAGAGATAGACGCGCAGTCGAGTCTGCGTCTGCACATCAGAGAAAAACTCAGAGCATTACAGCTACTTTACTGACTTTACAGCTTATTTTAAGCCATTTTAATCAGACACAGCCTCAAATAACATCGGAGAACAACACAGAGAGCATGACAGCTACTTTGTGTCTTATATTGAGTCATGTTATTCAGATACAGACATGAAACTCTGGATTTCTCCTGAATGAAGGCTGTCAGCGTTGTTTACCTGCGTGCTTGTGCTCGAGCATGAAGTGTACCGTGCTGAAGCTCACCTCTCCAAAGTGTGCCAAAGACAAGGAAGTGTACCTGAGCACGATGTGGAGCGGTCACACTGGCTAAACGAACTGGACTTTAGCGTTGAAGCGTGCTTGGGCACGGTACGGATGGCCAGTGTGACCACGCCCTCAGAGACACACTCACACTGTCTCTCACACACCTGTGGTGTTGTGTGTTTATAGTGAAGTGTCCAACTGGACAGAGATCAGCTCAAGATGTCACAAAGACAAACACACTGTTGAGAACACACACGCCTGCACACACACACACACACACACACACACACACACACACACACACACACAGACACACACACACACACACACACACACAGACACACACACACAGACACACACACACACACACACACACACACACACACACACACACACACACACACACACACACGCACACACACACACACACACACACACACACACACACACACACACACACACCGACACACACACACACACACACACACACACACACACACACACACACACCACACACACACACACACACACACACACACACACACCTATGCACACAGTGTAGCTGTGTTGGTCACACTAATAGACTCTTGGTGTCTGATCGTGTGGTTTCACTTCCTTACTAACGAGGTGATGCTGAGCAGCCGTCCCAGTGGTGAAGTGTTAATTCAGTGGAAAATGTTCAGTAGATGCACTACTGGAACAAAGTGGTGACAGACGATCAATAGAGATCTGCTGATTAAGATATCACACTCTGTGAAATGAGAAGCTTCCTCTCCTATTCACAGCGTTCGAGCATGTGCATCTACTGTGCATTCACTGCCTACTGTCTTACTCTCCAACAGCTCACACTCGCATTTTTATTCAAGTGAACTTTGACCCTTTAAATTCCGGCAGCTGCACAGAAATGTCTGATCTCGACGTCTTAACTGATCTGTAAGGCGTTTAGCATGCGGGGACAATGACTGTTTTCAACCATGAAAAATAGAGAGCAGGAATCAACGGCAGCTTCAGGACTTCACTGGAGCCTAAGCTTGAAGTCCACCTGGCAGAGAAACAAACACGGGTACCTCATTAAACCTGAAAACTCCCGATGCTGCCATCACAGAGCCGAGCCTCGACGCCGCAGCACTGATGGAGATCTCCAGAGCGTTGATGTCGGAAGGCTCTAATTGCTGCATGGTAATGTGGTGCCTCTGCATTCCTGCTGTTTCAACAATATTCCAATCGGCACAGTATTGTGTGCTGTGTAAGGAGGTTTATGCTCAGTGAAAGTGCTGTATTAATTTGACTCATAGGGACTGAATGATGGCAGTTTGCTGTTTGCACATGCTTTTCCTGCTCCTCTATTGCTGTCTCTCACTGTCACTCACACACAATTGTGTGAATGGATTTGGCTATCGCTGAGTGATGACTCCTCACTCAGCCTCTTCTGTTCCATTTCCTCTCTCCTCCCACTTCCTCTGATACCATTTGTAGCCCCTAATCTGCCGTCTTTTTCTGTCCAACTTTTTTTCGGGGCTCTCTCTTCGACTTCCTGCCTTTTCTTTTCAAGTACCCAATTGGCTTTGTTGACCTTTTCTTTTCCTCTCTCTCTTTCTCTCTCTCTCTCTCTCTCTCTCTCTCTCTCTCTCTCTCTCTCTCTCTCTCTCTCTCTATTTGTCTGCAGGTACCACCAGGCAGCCCAAGGAGGGGGAGGTGCCGGGGGTGGACTACAACTTTGTGAGTGTGGAGCGTTTTATGGAACTGGAGCAAAGTGGAGCCCTGCTAGAGAGTGGAACCTATGAAGGTGAGTGTTGAGAAAAATCTCCATCTGGGACTTGGAGACGAGTACAGGTGCTTGGGGAGCAAATATGGGAACATATGTTTCAGAAGAGCTTATTTTGCTTCTTTAAAAAAAACCTCAGCCTTCTGTGTACATTCATCTTTACTTGATAAATCAGGTGGGCAGGTGATACTCTCTCACAAAGCTTCAGTAAACAAAAAGGACTGAGTCATGTATGACAGCCTCCTCTGATGTTTGTTAAACGCCTGTCTGTGTGTCTAAGTGTGTGTGTGTGTGTGTGTGCGTGCGTGCGTGCGCGTGCATGTGTGTGCGTGCGTGTGTGTGTCTATGTGTGTCTGTCTGTGTGTGTAAGTGTGTGTGTGTGTGTGTGTGTGTGTGTGTGTGTGAGAGTGTGAGAGTGTGTGCGTGCGTGTGTGTCTCTATGTGTGTCTGTCTGTGTGTAAGTGTGTGTGTGTGCGTGTGCGTGTGAGAGTGTGAGAGTGTGTGCGTGCGTGTGTGTCTCTATGTGTGTCTGTCTGTGTGTCTGTCTATGTGTGTCTGTCTGTGTGTGCGTGTGTGCTGGATTAATGCCGTTTCCAAGTAAGATTGGGGTTGTGTGTGTGTGTGTGTGTGTGTGTGTGTGTGTGTGTGTGTGTGTGTGTGTGTGTGTGTGTGTGTGTGTGTGTGCGTCTCTGTGTGTGTCTGTGTGTGTAATGTGCATGTGTGTAGTGTAAAGAAGTTAAATTAGCTCTTGTATGAGTTCTTCTTTTTTTTTAGCCGTTCCTCTTGATTATTTTGTGTGTTTACATTTTTACAGGATATGTTGCTTCACTTGAACTCATTTTGTGAGAAAGATAGGAAAGGAAAGATGTCAGAAAGAAGGAGACATATTTAGACAGCAGTGAAGGAGGTATCATCAGGAAACACTTCTAGTTAATTGTAGAATGATGTTCATGGATCGGTGCACATTAGAGCCTTGTGTGTATGATGATACGTGATGAGTCATAGTTGGATGTTGAACTGTTCCATAATGCAGAGTTGCCTTTAGGCCAAACCAGGAGCGTTCAGGACGAGGGGGAAGATTTCCATTTTTAAGAACCAGTTTGTTGCATCTTCAATCATCGTCTATCATTGTCTGATAGATGATATATGCCTCTGGGAACAGATGCAAATTTCTTAGTAATTCCAGTGAAGCCAGCAGTTCACTTGAAACAACTTTCAAGAAGACTTTTCTTTTCCATGAAGAGTGTGCGACTGAAACCAAAACACTGTCATTTCAAGCTCCATAATATCCCGGAGTAGCGCTCGTTCATCTGTTAAGTCTCAGTTCAACAGTACAGCAGCTTCACTCCGGCTCACTTCAGCAGAAACAGATTCTTTTTTGATTTACTCACAATTTCCAGGATTGAAATATGCAACAGCATCATGTTGCAAGATTTGTAAAACGTTTTCACATCTGTCCTGAAGAGGAGAAGAAAATAACTTTTAAAATGCTTGTTTTGTTGAATGGAGGTCGGACGTCTCTTTGAATGAGAGAATCTGAACACTGATAGGCTGTCGTGACACAGCGACAGAAAGATTCATGGCTCAAAGTAAAATGTTTGATCTGTAATTAACTGTGGACACCAGCTCCTTGAGCTTTAAGTCATTCTGCAACAGAGTCCAGGCTGAGGGTGGAGAGTACCCAAAAGCCCTTTTCCTCAATTGCCGTCTGAGCGTTTGGTGACAGAGAGCATAAAGAGGTCCTGAGAACGCAAAGAACACTGTCCAGTACTTCTCTGCATGATAAAAACACACAGATATAGAGGAAGCAGATATATATAAAGATGTATCAGTGTATGAGTCTACGGGTCGCCAAAGCGGGCCATCCAACCCGAGAGTACAACTGAGTCAGAGCTCTACCATTTGTAATGAACCTCAAGGATGCATGGTAGGCAAAATGCTTAATAAAATAAATGATGAGGGGTAAGCAAACTAATGACATTAATATGTCTACATGAGGGGGGCTGAGTCTTTAACTCCTTATCAGTCGTGTAAAAAAAGAAAAACCAAGAACGTTGTTCATTTAAGGTTCATCTGTAAATATTTCACAATGAATTCTTCTCGTCATTGGTTCATAAAATGCTCAAAAATATTTATAAATGTTTACAACTCAAAGATACTCAGTACAGTGATGGAGTCAAGACACCAGATAATATTCATATTTTTATGGACAAAAGATTTTTTTATTTTTATTTTTTTTAAACGTGACCTCTAACCAAATGTCCGTCTTGTGCCTTCAGACAACTTCTACGGCACACCAAAACCTCCAGCGGAGCCGTCCCCCGCAGCACCTCCTCTGAATGTAAGTGAGGCCTTGCTGCCTGGAGCCCGGCCCAGCGCCCAGGGCAAGAGGAAGAGGAACCAGTCAGTCAGCAACATGGAGCAGCGTGCCAGCCTGGAGCCTCCCGAGGAGGAGGAAGAGGAGAGCCCGGTTGTCAATGGCAACGGAGTGGCCATCACCCCAGGTACCATGAGATGATGGGAAAAGCATCTTGCTGTTTGAATGTTTTCTAAAAGATTGTTGTTGGAATCTGTTTCCAACCTGGTCTGTTTTTGAAAGGCTTTGATAGTTCTGACAGTTGATTAAGGAGAGGAGAACACAAGGTCTGAAGGTGTCTGTTTGCTGTGTATGATTAATAAAACCAGAGGTGCAACTCAGTTGTCATAACAACTTTTACCTTTCCTTTTATTGACTTTGAAAGATAAATCTAATGTGTTTGTAGTCCAGCTTCATGTCTGCAGTTTATAGATACATAGATACTTTATTGATCCAGAGGGAAATTCTAAATATTACATCGTCAGAATCAGATTTATTATAAGGAATTTAACTTGGGTGAACTGTGCTCTCTTATGAACAGGTACAACATTAAATATCAACAATAAACATAATAAGAAAAGACTAATATTTACATGACTAAATATGAAACAGTGCAGTGGTGAATAGTGCAAAAGATGCTGAAGTAACATGAGAAGTAAAATGCAGTTATGTGACAGATGAGTCAATTAAGATGTCAATTACAGTATTTACATAAATAAGTGTGTGCATATTGATCATTTAAATTAAATAATATATATATATACTTATATGTATATTCACATATTATATATTTACAAAAGACTTTGTTATTTTATATCATTTATTATATATAATTTATATCAGCCTGCCCCAGTTAAACTTCTACAAATCTGACAACAAACTGTACCTAACAGTCATCAAAGACATGAACAGACTTACATGCACAAGGTTAAACTGCATACATTTCTTTAACCTTGAAAAATCCTGATCTCACAAGGACACCTTAATGTTTCCTGTATTGTCTCTCGTCCAGAGTCGCATTTTTGGCTTCAGCTCCTTTTCTCCCTGTCCTCTCATTCCTTCATCTCTTCTGCTGTCGTTGCTCTCCTGCCACTGGCCTTTGTCCTTGTTTCTATTTATACCCCGACTCACCCCTCTCTCTTCCCTCTGTCTGCTATCCTCTTTCTTCTGACCCCTCTTTGCTTTTCTTTCTTCTCTGCAGTCCTATTCCTTCTGCCCTTTCCTTCCTTTATCCTCCTTTCTCTTTGTAGTCTGTGTTGTCAGAACATGCCATATTCTTGATTCTATTGAAATCCTGTGTTATTTTGTTTTCTTAATGTTACAGAAAAAATGCAGGAATCCATAGATTATATTCTCATAACAAAAATTTAAATATCTGATATGTATGCTATTATAGGATTGTGTATTATTAGACACCTTCTCTCTATTGCATGATCCATATCCTCATTAGATACCACTTGCTTTTCTCTTCAGTCTTAAAAAAACTTTTCCATGTGTCTCTGTCTCAGTCTCTGACCCTTAAAGTCTCTTGTCTTCCCCTGATTCTCCTTTTTTCTGACATCTGCATGTTGTTTTCTCCTCATGTTTTAATGTCCTCTAAGCCCATCTCTCTTTCTCTCCCTCACTGTCCCCTCGCTCTCTCCTGGGGGTTCATAGCTCTGCAGTGGCTTGGCTCTGACTCATCATGCATGGCGTGTGTGGTGTGCATCCAGGTCTGTATGTGTGTGCACAGAGCGTATGTGAGAATAACTGTGTGTATGTGTGTTTTTTCTCCACAGAGTCCAGTGAGCATGAGGACAAGAGCACAGATGCCTCTGGGGAGGTTGCTGTTGACGCCTCCATTCAACCCCCACCCTCCACTGAGCCCCCCACAGAAGGAGAAGAGGCCCCAAAATCTCCCTCTGAATCCCCGGCCAAAGTCCCCGACGCAGATGAAGAAGAACTGGGGCCTCTCCCTGACAACTGGGAAATGGCATACACTGAGAAGGGGGAGGTTTACTTCATAGAGTAAGACACATACATCATGCTTAAATATATATTTTGAGATCTTTGAAGTGAAAAAAAATGGGAATTTTATCTTAAGAACACGTTTTCCTCAACGTCTGTAGCTTCAGTTTAAAGGGATACTTCACCCGTTGAAACATGAATCTGTACTGACATTGGGTCATATATGTAGAAATGTGAAATACATTTTGAAGTTGGTGCCTTCTTGACCGAGAAAAGGCAGAAAGTGTCTTTTTGGCTCATGTGGATGAAAGACACCAAATCCCAGAATGCACAGCACCGCAGGCCACTCCCACTACGGTCCACTATTTCAGAATCAGAAATACTTTATTAATCCCAGAGGGAAATTCGATCGTCACAGTTTCTCCAAAATATACAGTATAGCAGGAGAAATAAAAACATTTACAGACATATTTACTTCAACACATGAGACCGTTTCCTCAACTGATTCAGAGATTTCTTCCAGAATTGATTTTGGAAATTCCTGTCAGAAAAGAGACTCTATGTCTGTGTCCATAGACAAACAGTGAGAGCACCGACTCTACCAGTCCACCCCAGCTCGAGCCGGCCCGGGCTCCTCGTCCTCACCGCCACCGACAGGCTGCTGAGCTGGCAGCGGCGGCCAGCAATATAGCCGTGAGACGGTTGCTTGTACAGACGGTCTTGTGTCGCGGCGGCCCCCAGCAGCCAGAACACAAGACCGGCCTGTCTGCAGCAGCCGTCTCACCGCTATATTTATATTTTTTCTCCATTATCAGCTTTCTCCATAGAGCCTGTTAGCTTCAAAGCAATATGGCTTCCCTACTTCAAAACATGGTTAATGTATGCTTCAGTGTGTGAACTTTATTGCACCCATCTCTGTTTGAATAATTGATGTAACTCATTGCTTCAATTTAGACACACACACACACACACACACACACACACACACACACACACACACACACACACACACACACACACACACACACAAACACACACACACACATTCAAGCCAATGAATACTTTTGTCCCATCCTCTAACCCTTACGAGGTAATGGCTTGAGACAAATTAGAGGATTAAAAGCCATTTAGTTTACCTCAGAATATCCCCTTGTTTCTCTTTTCCCCCTGCACACACACACACACACACACACACACACACACACACACACACACTAACCCAAAGATATGCGCACACTCTGATCAACAGTAGCTGTCATTCTGTCATTCTATTATCCGCTCTGTCAGTCTCTCTCTGTGACCTCTGTTTACCCCCTCTCCTCTCCATGTTGCCCTCATCCACACATCTCTCTCTTCTCCTGAAGTCACAACACCAAAACTACATCGTGGCTGGATCCTCGGCTCGCAAAGAAAGCAAAGCCGCCAGAAGAATGCAGCGAAGACGGTGAGTGAAACCGTCTTGTTAACCCGTGTGCTCTGCAGTTTTGTCGACTTTTACTTTGTGTTCATCTTTCATGGCTCGTGGGAGTGTGTCATCTCTTCATCACCTGCTGTTTGTGAACCTGTGTTGTCTCTTTCTGACTCACTGGTCCTGTGTTTTTCTCACCTCAAGAAAGCATAAATATTTTTGTTTTTTGGGGTGTTTGTCAGTCTGCTGCTGGTCTCACTGTTCTCAGCAGGTTTTCAGAATCTACTCACATGCAAAGGAGAGGAATTCAAATTGTTGTAACGGGACACTTTGATTTCTTTTTTTACAAGATTTCTTTTTTCATGTAGAAGGTGTCACTATCATGGAGTCCTCTTGAGAAGAGTGCGATGAATACATCAGGTAGTCCTTTCAGTAATTAAGGTCGAGTGTTGGAAGTAATACATTTCAATCTGAGAATTATTCAGACCTTGCCGCTTCATTACAATGTCAAACCTGATTCATGCGTCTTGCGGTCGGAGGGGTCGGAGGGGTCGTTGCGACGGTATTGTGCAAATTGCGGCTGGTGCGACGGTGCGAGGAGGGTCTGAGTGCCCAGCTGCGCACCCTCCAAGATTTTGTAACAACCCGGACAGGTTCGCGCCGGCCGCGTAGCAATGATTGGCTACATGTTAAAGGAATACATTAACCTATTCCTAGTGTCATAACCCGGCTCGTGGGTTGTGACAAAAACTAAAGGAGTCGGGTTTTACAAAAGAAAAGGATTAATTTATTACAAAAAAACAAATGAATCAACCCATAACAAGACAGATGAGGTGTGTTAAATCAGTATAATCAGTGGTGAACGTGTGGATGTGTGTAAAAGCATTATGGTGTATGTGGTGTTGACGAGTGCACTAACATGCTAACTAAACTAAATGAATAATGGTGTCAGCTCAAAGCTTAGGCAGAATAGAGAGAGCCCGAGAGGAACAGGAAGCTGGTCCTTATATCCTGGGTGGAGCAATGGGCCCAGGTGCTCCAGATCAGGCAGGCAACATCATCAGCACCTCAAAGACAATACAAGCACATAAGTAAACCAGACACACACTCTAAGCAGCGGTCGTCACACTAGTAAGTCATTTCTTAAACATTTATAATAAACTTAAATCTCCTCCTTATATTAGTAATAAATCAAAAAACAACAGCTTTAGTCTGACTTTGTATTTCACATACACACAGCTACACCTGTGTTCTCTTGCTACACACACACCTGCCTCTCTCTGTTCAGTTCTCTGACTACTGACGGGGATTTCAGGACAACTTTGCTAGTGTGAGTGCGCCATAAGACCCATTCCAGTTTGCCTACGGGCAGCGGCAAGATACAGATGATGCAATTAACAGCATCACTCACTTGACTTTAAAACACCTTGAAGACCCTCAAGCTTCTGCACGTTTGTTGTTAATTGGTTTAAGTTCTGCCTTCATTATTTTTGCAGCCAGTGTATCTGTTATCCCTGTAGCCTGTGCATGTTGACATGCAGGGGACACAGATTGGATGCACAGTGGTCAGTTCTCTGACTTCTGATGGGGATTTCAGTAAACAAAACTTTATTGTAGATTAGTCATGAAAATAAGAGTAACCTGCGCTTTTGGTTTGCGTCAAGCAACACAAAGTGGCAGCATGACATTCTTCAGGTAATCTGACTCTTGAGCAGCCCTAGTGTTGATCTCCTGCGATCACATATAAAAAGAAAATGAGTTGGTCTTGCTGCTCTTGTCACCGGGTGTGGTCGGTGAATTTTGGTTGTGATGAGATTCAACAGAGCAGGATCTGAATCAGAACATTTTCTCCCTCTCCTCAGATCTCCTGATCTTCAATTTGATCCCTTCTCTATTCCCACCCTGCATTCTTTCACATCATGTCTCCCCTTTCAATCTCCCCCCTAAAAAAATCTCTCTCTCTTTTCTCTCCCACCTTCATTCCACGTCTCTCCCTCTCCCTCTGCCCGGTAAAGGGCCGAACTGTGACAGGAATTCTAATAGCATTTCTCAGCTCTGCACAAACTGATTCTCACTCCACACACACAGACAGACACACACACACACACACACACACACACACACACACACACACACACACACACACACACACACACACACACACACACACACACACACACACACACACACTACTGTTCTGAGTTCACAAACCCTTCTCACAACCGCGGCCGACGTACTTCAGCCTCGTCTTGGCAGAAATCATATTCCCTAACGCCAGTGATGTTCAGACGCCAACTTTCTGTCATCTTTGGCGCTCTGTGATGACTTATTTTGTTCTTTTAAGTGGTAACTTTGCTCTTTCACAACTATGCTTCTGTGCTGGAGCTTTTTAAACCATACCAGAGTGATCAGCAGTACCTACATTTTGTCACAGGTGTGGGTATTAAAAATTGAATATCTAAATCCTGCCAGTCTTGCACTTATAACGCAGGAGATCCAATAACAAATAACAGTAATTTACAGTAGAGTGCTTCAGTTCACACGGCCAAAGTTGGCTGGAATCAAAAACTTCAACTAGCCTGCACTCTCCCTCTCTCCCACACGCTCGTGTTGGTGAAAGAAAGGAAAAGACAACTAGAAAACAAAACTATTCCAGTAGGAAACAGACTTTGTGAGATGTGTGAGTTGGACAAAGTTGAAACAGAGTCCCATTTTCTTTTGCATTGTTACAAAATACGATGATTTAAGAGAATTATTGTTTCATGAAGTAGAATCTGAAATATTGGGACAGATGTGCAGAAACTGGAATGGCTGTTTAAGTTTGATGTGTTTAAACTTGATAGTTTTGTTTCAAAAGCTTGGAAAAGAAGACAGGATATTCTGTTTAATTAGTTTGACTTCTTGCTTTCTCTTTTTGTTTCTTGAGAATGAAGAAAGCTTACCTAGTGCACTCAGAACGTTTTTAATTTATGGCTGGGCATATGGATGTGACACCATGATAAAATAAAAAACTAAAACTAAAACTAAAAAACTCTGAACAAATCATGAGCAAATAAAACCTTGATGTTGTTTTCCACAGATAACAACGTTTAGTGCTGGTTACATGCTGTCAAAATAACAGCAAGGAAACATATAAATGTCTTATCCTAGATTGCAGCACAATTCTGTGCTGTTTTTATTTCTACTGAGAACAATGCTACAAGTGCACAGCTGCACAGTGATTGAACTGAGCTAACCTGAACTCTAGCTAATGATAAAGTACTCTCATTACCAAACCAGAGAGTGCAACCAACGGGGTCGGCCCTATGGTCCTACATTTCTAGGACATTTTCATAATTAGGTCTTGTGTTCCTACATTTCCCATTGCTACTGGATAACAGGTTGGGTGTAATTGGCTTCCAAATTGGGAGAAAGGGGGATAAAATCTGATACAAATATATGAAAAAGGAAATGTGGGAACAACAACACTAACCCGCTCGCTTTAGCATGAACACAAAATAGTAATTGAATAGTTTGATTAGCATTCACGAGCGTGTTCAAGAGGGAATGCTACTCTAAGCTAAATGAAACATACTGACATGTGACACAGTGTTGTGTATGTTGACGTTAATTTCAAGTTTTTAAGATCAGAACATGTCAATGATGAAACCTGTATCATATTAAAACACTGAATATTGTATTATTATATTTATCATTATTATTATTATTCTGTGTTTTTTTTTTTACTTTTGTTGATCTGATGTGTTTTCTCAAGTAGAGCCTCTAGTCAAAGAGTGTAAAATGTAAAATATCAAATCAAAGTTTTGTTTCTTGTTTTTTTAAATTCTCCCTTATTTTTTTGCTTTTGTATTTTTTTCCTTTTTCCAGATATATTATGAGTGTTTTTTTTTACAAACAGATTGTATCTAGATTAGCATTTTTTGTGTGAAAGAAGCTCATTTACTGCACTCCCTATCTTTTGTCCATTCCTCTGGTATTTATTATCATGCAGATTTGATCTGTGCCTTTTGCTCTTTTGCTCTTTTGCTCTTTTGCTCTTTTGCTCTTTTGCTCTGTCTTTCGGGAAGCAATGGTACAGAAAAAGGGAACCTAATACTGAAGTGATCTCTGCCAGCTCTCCACTTACACAGCGATAAATGAAGCAACACCTTAGCTATAGCTAGGCTAACCTACAGCAGAGGTCACAGATGGTCCAGTCTCTGTTCGACCGCTGTAATGTGATTAACAGTTGTTTCCATGCTAAGAGTGTTTACTCATTTGGGGGGCTAATGTTGTTTGAGCGCTGAAATGAAGAGAGTTTTTTTTGTTTTGTTGTCGAGCTCAGATTGTGCAGTTTTTAAATGGTACAATTTATGGGTGCTGGTGGCGCAGTGGTTAGAGCGTGCACCCCATATTTGGAGGCTGTAGTTCTCCAAGCGGGCGGCTCAGGTTCAAATCTGACCTGTGGCTCCTTTCCCGCATGTCATTCCACTCTCTCTCTCTCCACTGTCCTATCTCTAAAATAAAGGCACAAAAAGCCCCAAAATCAATCTTTAAAAAAAATACAAAGTACAATTTGAATGGAAGCAAGGATGTCAGAATTAGCAATGAAGTGTGAATAAAGGATAAATGTGGGGAGGGAGGAGCACGGAGAGGTGGTGCTGATTTTGAAGGATTTCCCACAGTCTCCCAGCATCAGAGGAAGGAGACAAGCATTCAGACATCCTTTCATCATCGTCTCCCTTTCCTTTGCTTCCATCTTATCGCCCTTCTGCTACTCTCTCTTCAGCATTCACATCCTCATTCACTATCCCCCCCCCCTCATTCCCTGCTGTGCTTTGGGTGAATATTAAGGGTTTGTTTGTGTTGATGTGCAGCGCGTTCTTTTGTGTACATTGTATTGTATCTACATGCTGAGGCTGACTCCCAGAGTTCAAAGGCTCGTCACAGATGATCTGGTTCGCTTGAATTTTGTTTTGTCAGGAAAGTGTTTCATGTTACACAAGCCAATAGAGCTCCACTGGAATGAGTCCTAAAACCAGGAAGTAAGTTAGCAT